GGCACCAATCAACAGGCTTATAGCCTGAATAGAATACAAAAGGAGAGAGGGAAGGTAGGCTTGACGCTTGCTGCTGCTGCTTCCTGCTTCCTGTTTCCTGCCTGGTTGCCATGAACTGTTTCTCCTCTGTGATGCCCTTCTGCCTTGCTCTCTTGCTATAAAGCCAGCCGACTATGGACTGAAACCTCTACAAACTGTAGGCTGAAATAAACCTTTCCTCCTTTAACTTTTTTGTCTCAGCAATAAGAAAAGTAAGACAGCTGACCTGCTATGAAGAAAGTCCCTCCCCTAAATAGAGAACTCTACTTCTGGATCTAATTAATTGTGATGCAGTTAGGTTGCTGCAATTTTGTAACTCTAAGGAAATCCAAGACAAAATGAAAATCTGACTGTTGTCCACTGGTATCAACAGCCTCATTCACCTTTGTCATTTTCACTCTTACTTAGAACAGTGACTCTGCCAGAGTTACACACAAACCAGGGCTCTTTAGAAAAATGAAAATTCAATCACCTAATATTTCTTCTTTCCTGCACCAAGTTCTTAAAGAGTTCAGTGAAGTCTCTGACATTTTAGGGTCCTAAATAAAAATAAAGAGAGATGCAAAGCAAGTGATACTATAGTCAGAAATTAATCAAACACACTTTAGTAAAGCTGGCAGGCATGTGTACCGAGTCTATATCCAGTCATAACTAAGAAATAGTGTTAAGGGCACATAAAGTATTATACTGCATATGTCCATGATTACATAATTCTACTATAGCAATGATTATAACAAACCTAGAGTCAAGCAATATAACATATGTAATGTTATATAAGTACCAAATGCTTAAATTATACATGAATATAAAAGTTATAAGGCAAAATAAAGTTTTGGTGAAGGGAAAGAAAGCTCTGTAACCTCATGTCACCTCTGACATCTCCCTGCCAAGCAGAAGGTACTTTTTAGGCCAGATCAGAAAGTAAATGGATAAAAACTGAACCAGGAAATGCACTAGAGTGACTGTCATTCTCTTTCTCATATCCAAGCCAGTAGACAGTGGGTATCAATGTAACACTGTGGCTACTTGGAAAATCTGCTAAGAGATAAAAAACAGAAAAATATATGCATGGTGAGGGGAAACGAGACTTTGCCTGATTTCATAATCTATATATTCAGGGGGAATGTTAAGTAAAAAGAGGGTGTAACAGTGGCCCCAAACATCCTGAAATGGTCATGTACGTATTTAAGAATAATATTCATGGCACAGGGTGTTCTCAGGCAGGAAAATGAAACAAGACTCATCACTGACAAAATTTTTGTTTTCTTTCTTTTTTCTGTTTTGTTTTATCTTGGAGACAAGGTCTGGCTAAATTGCCCACGCTGGCTTCAAACTTGCAATCCTCCTGGCTTAGCCTCCCCAGTGCTAGGATTACAGGTGTCTGCTACCATATCCAGCTCCAGAAACATTTTTAAAGTATTCATGAAAAACAAAAAACAGGGTCTAGTTAGAATGTGATTATTTCCATCACCTCTTCTCTAACCACCAAATTCCAATCCCAGCTTGGAAAACTGTATTTCGATTCAGGTCACCAGGAATCAAAGCTCTTCTAGCATTTAATTACTGGAGACATTTTTCATCCTTATTGTGATAACCACAAATAATTAAATTGCTAGATATGCCAAAGACTATAGAGATTGGTGGGAAGACCTACACTGGATAGCAATGCTAGTCAAGGTAAAAGGTATTGAGAATTTAGCCACCCATTTGAACTAAAAATACTGTGCTGTCAAAGTTTAACTTTATAAGTTCCAGCTGAAATTATACTTGATTACTGGATATATTTACATCTACACATATTCTCATGACCTCCTTAAGTCTATTTCTTTGGGAAAACTCAGAATTATATAAAGCAGTGTTTTGACTTTATGACTTGTGGGCAGAAGATATACCGCAGTGACTGAACAATTGTCTAGTATGCCTGAGGCCCTGGATTCCATTTTCACCACCACAAAATAAAAACAAACGAATAAATAATTTACAATTTGGTAATCCATTAATATCCCTGAGAGTTAATATCCTTGCCCCCTCACCAAATTCATAAGCTGAAAACTAATGCCCAGTGTGAGAGCATTAGGAGGTAGGGCCTTTTGGAAGTGATTTGGTTTTGCGGTCAGGGCCCTCACACCTTGTGCTACATCAGGACACAGCAAAAATACCATCATCTGTGAACCAGGAAGGAAGCTCACCTAATTTGTTCATGCCTTTTTCCCCCCAGTACTTGGAATTGAACTCAGGGCCTTATTACTAAGCTGCATCTCTACCTCACATTTTATTTTTTATTTTGAAACAGGGTCTTGATAATTTGCCCAGATTAGGCACAACGTCAGCCTCCCACAGTGCTGAGTTTACAAGTCTGTGCCACCAGGCCCAGTGCAGCCTTAATCTTGGATTTCTCAGCCTCCAGTAGAGAAGTAAATTTCTGTTTTTTATAAGCCAGTCATTTTATTATTGCAGCCTAAATGAACTAAGACACTCCAAAAATATTATTTTCTCATTTCACATCACTAAAATAGAAGTATCAGCTACATTAATTAATTAAACAAAATTCAGTGTGACTGCTGGCCCCTCTTCAACTTGGGGCCTTGGGCATGGTACTGTACTACTCATTCCTGACAAGCTCACTGACAGGTTTGCCAACACAAATAGACAAAGCCTACTAGATCTTGTTCAGAAACAGAATTAGTGACTAGATAAAAGCAATATGGTTACCATGAGTAAGTAATTCACAAAAGAAAAAATACAAATTTCCAGTAAACACCTAGAAAGAGATACAGCTTCTGTAAAAGACACAGAAACAAGAATTAAGTGAAAATGAAAGCCAGGTGTGGTGGTGCACACAGCCGATGCAATTTAATGGTTTAGCAAGATCTTGTCCCTGTATCAAAACTAAAAAAAATAAAAAGGGCTGAGAGTGTAGCTCAGTGTGAAGGTCCTGGGTTCAAGCCCCCATACTGGGGTGAAAAAGAAAGAAGAATGAAATCTGTTTTGCCTCTTAAGGGAGAAAAATGAAAAAGGCTGATTATCTCTACAACAAACTGCCAAGAATCTAGAACATCAGGCACTACCGGTTGCAAAGCAAATTGTTAGTTTTTGGGAAAAGCTAACATGTACCAAAATGAAAAACGATATTCTCCCTAAGCCATTACACAGAGGTAGATTAAAAGAATGTTCACAGCGGTTTGGTTTTTTTTTTAACCAAAAGCTGTAAATGCCTCTTACAATTGGTAGCATTTCAGTGAAGTATATGATTATTTATGAATCTAATTATCGGGAAGTATTTACTCCAAACTACTATGTATGGTAGTTAATTGAGACTGGCTTACTGGAGAGCTTTTATTTTTTACTTCGATGTTGTTTCCATTTCTTATAATTAGCCGTATTTTAAAATACATACTACAGAAACAAAATCCTTCCCATTCAGCTATTCTATTAAAATTCAGCTATTTTAAACTCCAAGGAGATAGGAATACAGACCAAATACTCATTCTTTTGTTTTATTGTTGAGAAAGTTATTTATATACATAATAGATACCAAAAAATAATGTTCAGGCTTGAGAATTTTTTTCTTCCTTAAGACATTTGACCAATCTTAAGTGTATACATTCTTACGGATGGGTGGCTCCCTTTTCAGAATCTCACTGAGAGAAATTCTCATTTTGGTTAAATAGTGGGCTTTGGTACTTTTTCTTTTGGTTATTAAAAAAAAAAATCCAAGGAATAGCTCTTAAAAGAAAAAAAAGGCAGCATATCAACAGTTCAAAAATACTACAGGCACCTGGGTGTGGTGGCACACTCCTGTAGGCCTAGCAATGGGGTGGCTGAAGAAAGAGGAGTGCTTCAAGTTCAAGGCCAGTCTGAACTCCACAGACAGACCCTGTCTCAAAACAAAACAAATACTACAAGCTAATCACCATCTTAAGTACTATAAAAGTAAATACATCACATTGTTACTCTTTGTAGAAAATACTTTGCTTTGTTTTGGTTTTTTGGTATTGGGAATCGAACTTGGGACCTTGCACTTGCCAGGTAGGCACTTGTGCCGCTGAGCTGTATCTCCAGCCCTCTTTGTAGAAAATACTATTGTGTGTATACAATGGCTGGAAATAAAAAATTACCTTTTTTGGTGGCACTGGGGATGAACCCAGTGGCAATCTACCAATGAGCTACATCCTCACATCCCCTGACCTTTTTTCTCAGACTTCTTTTTGAGAACTGGTCTCAAACCCACAATCCTGTCAGCCTCACGAGCAGCTGGGATTAAAGGTGCGTATCATCATGCGTGGCTAAATAATTACTTCTTATGAAGCAATCTCCAACAGAATTTTGAATCTACTGATGAGCTGAATTTAACTAAAAAGTAAACTAGGAGAATAATCCTAGAGTTTAAAATGTAATATTTTTACAAAACCATAAAATATGGTAGATTATTATTATAGAGGGATGCAAGACTGATATAAATGTCAACACTATAAAGGAAAAAAGATATTTTAATATGTAAAATTTGAATTTTTAAACAGCTTAAAATACTATGTACAAAGTTTTAAAAATAAGAAGAAAAAATTGCAAAATATGTAATGTACAAAGAACTTTCATAAACCAAAAAATATATAAGCACTCCAGTAAAAGATAAAGATATGAATTAGCAAGGTATAAAAAAAGAAATAAATATAGCAAGTAAATATATGAAGAGATGTTCTTTTCTGTCTGTCCAGTTGGAAAATCCTTTAGTAAAATCTAATTTCCATGAAAATGTAGGGTTACTTTAATGTTGATAGTGGTGTTCATTAGTATATATTTTCATTTATTTGTTTGTTTACTTATTTATTTACTAGTGTGACCCTGGGGATCAAATCCAGGGCTTATTGCATGCCAGGCAAGTGCTTTACCACTGAGCTTCACACCCAAGCCTTTTTATTTTTTTATTTTGAGACAGTGTTTCATCAAACTGCCCAGGCTGGTCTTGAACTTGCAGTCCTTCTGCTTCAGCCTTCTGAGTAGCTGAGGTTATAGTGGCACACATTTTCTTCAGGATGACCTGGAAGTAGTATTCTTGCAATCAGTATTTCCTTTTTTTTCAATAAGTGTTCCTTGCATGCCCATACATGTGGCAGTGCTGGAGATGCTGAGAATAATACAAAGTAGAAGAAAGAAAAGGAACAACTGAACAAATAAGTGAACAAATAAAGACATCAAAAATAAAAAGTATCTATCCTCTGAACCATCAATTTTCACCCTGGACCTCAGAGCAAGACCCTGTGTCAGAACAAAGCAAAACAAAAACTTCACAAACCATAAACTATCCATATATTTGAAATTGTTAGTTATTATCTAGATATTGTATTAAAATTTATATTTTGCTTAAGCTTCCTTTGGGCATCTTTTTTTAAATATCAATATCGGTTTTACACCTTCCTAAGGTAGGTTTGGTTCGTTTTCTTGTCCTTGTTGTTGTAGTTATTTATTTGTTTTTCTTTCTGATGGTGATGAGGCCCAGTATAAGGCCTAAGCACGCCAAGCAGGTTCTCTGCCACTGGGCCCCAGCCCCACCCCTTCTACACCTTCTAGAATGTGTATGCTTGCTCACTTGCTCAGCCAAATACAAAATACCTCAATCCACAGGCGCTGTGCTTTTGGATTGTGAAAATTAATGGTACTACGGAATCCAGAAACATTAGAGGCGTCCAAAAATAAAAACAGATGACAAAAGTTTTGTAAAATGTGTGACCATAGTGCAAGATGACTTTGAAAAGCGATGTGCCTTGCATGTGTGCAAATACACTCATGTACATGTCTCCTAGATTCGTGTGTGTGGATGCCTGTTTATGCTCAGTGTGTGCTTTCACGTAGGTAATCAAATCTGCTACGCATATGCTTTATCAGCGCGGCCAAGGCGAGCCGCACTTGCTTCCAACGTCATCTTCAGGAAACCGGTATCAAAATCATCTGCAGTGAGTTTCGGTGCCTGGCTGGCTCCGCTATGTCCACCTGCCTTGGACATGGGCTGGTTTTGGCAAATGAGCCCATTAGAAGGTCACAGCAGGCCGCGGCCCAGGAAGGCCGCTGAGGAGGGAACAAGAGTACCTTCAGCACCACGGACACGGGCATCCCCATCCCTGGCTTTGCCCGGAAACTGCAGCGAAATCGCTCTTGCGCCGGGCACGCTGCTATCCCGGGCCGCCAGCGTCGCTCGGTCTGGAACTTTCCGTCTGTCTCCTCGTGGAGCCGGGTGAAAGCCCGAAGAGGGAGGCCTCGTGCCTGCCGCCCCCCTGGCCGACCGCTTCTCTCTCTCCTTTCAAATGAGGCCGAATGGGTGCCACGCCCGGGGACCGCTGGGGCGGAGACGCTGCTGTCCCCCTGCCTCCT